ATGTTATCTATTATTTCAACTTCATCCAGGGGGTGGGTGATCTGCCCTTTCCCTTCATATGTGTCAACTACACCTGATTTTTCTATTTCCCCTCATGTTACCACTTTACGATGTTCCAGCAGTCTTACCTTAAGAGTGCAGCCTGTTTCTCTTTTATATTTCTTACCACAGCTGCACAGGATGGCATACACACAGTCCTTAGTCATGTTTTTTTTCTATGGAAGGTCGTGCTCGGAAGAGGTGTCTGCGAATTGTTCAATCACTTTTGAAGGTTGTTCTGACGTTATATGGACCGCACATCTTTTGTATTTTCTCTAATAATCACTTCACATAGAAAACAGCTTCAGTCTGCCCACCCTGAGTGTTATTATCCTCTTTTGCCTTCTATCCCAGTTTGTAAGAGTTGTTGCCATGTACCTGGGGTAGTTATGTTGTAAAGTACTGCTTATACTGACCATTTTTTGTTCATATGTCTCTGGGTCACCACTTAAGACTTTTGCTTGATGATGTAAACAGCAAATGATCCATTTCTTTACACTGTATGGGTGATGGGAGTTGAAGTTGAGATATTGTCCAGTGAATAGAGGCTTGCTGTATACAGATGTCTTGAACCCATGTTCTGTTTGAGATATTAGTACATCCAGGAAGGCAAGTTTGTTGTTGTTTTCTCTCTCCATTGTGAACTGTATTGATGATCTTACCGAGTTCATATGGTCCAGTAATTCCTGTTGTGGTTAGAGTATGAAGGTGCCATCTACATATCTCAACCATAGGGTTGGCTTTAGTGATGTAGATTCTAATGCCATTTCCTCAAAGTATTCCATATATGTTGTAAGCAGCAGATGATCCCTTTCTTTACACTGTATGGATGGTGGGAGTTGAAGTTATATGGAATACTTTGAGACATTAAGATTAGAAGTCCAAAAAATTCATGCACTCGGCCATGTCCTCAAGGACACATGGCCCAGTGGATAAAGGCACTGGTAGATCCAGTGACTAGATCCAAAGGAGTTGTGAGTTCAATACCTGGCTACAACAGTGGGGAACCAAAACTTGGATAGTTGAATTAAAGGGAAATAACTGAAACATACAGAAGAGGCATAGCACATGGAACTAGAACAATCTACCCCAGGTTCAGTTCAAAATTCCAATCATCTGAAGAAGGCCGGGGCATACAACATTGTGAATATGATAATGAAGTTGAGGATAACAGTCTGAATAATGTAAATAATGTAAGTCATCATTCAGGTATTGTAAAATTCCTGTTGCATCATCAAATGTCTGAGCTATCAGTTTTTATTTATTTCCTTGAAGGATTATATCTAATTGTTATAAAATACATTTTGATATGCCCTTTGAAGTTTGATTTTCTGGAATAAATAATCCCCAAATTCAATCAAATATTTCTTCATTCAACACATACAGTAGAACAATTACCATTTGAATGTGTTCTGAAACATCATGGCTACAAACAAAGCTCCTTAATTTCTGTCCTTATCTCCTCATGGTATTGTAGCAGGCAGTTATAGTATCTCATTCTGAATGGTCTTCTAAACACCTTTGAAAGCCACACTGGTTTCTAAGTGATTCTTCAAATCTGGATGTAATTTAGATGCAAAATCTATTAATCCTCTAAATACCCCTTGACTTACTGAATCATCTTTTTAAGTATGTTTACGTAAGGGAGTTTCAAAGTTTCCACAAAATAAAATAGAATGTATTATTTTGGATAAAATTTCAGCTCTTTTTAACCTTCATGCTATGCTCGTTGATTGAAAGTCTGTATACCTCACTAAGTTTCTCCTTAATATTTATATTTCCTAAAAGTGACAGTAAAACCACATTTCTAATATGCATCTTTGACTTGATGTTTTTCAGTTTTTCCTTCCATTTTGTTTATATTTCTAAAACCAACTTTTGTTCATGTTATATCACATAAACAACAAACATGAGAAGCAAAACAATGTATTTTTCATTTTGCAGCTGCAGAGTCAACTTTTCCATTGGTACCATTCAGAATTAAAGCTACAAATATACCTCTTGTTGTTGCTTATTCCTGGCCGAGATATTTGAATATCAGGTGTTGAATAAACTCTTTTCTTAAGTGTAACTTTCTCATGGAGGGACAATTATGAAAACTTAAGCTGTTGAAGTTCATTTACTGTCACAGAATTTATTTCTTGGGGATTCAAGAAGGTCATGGTTAAATTATTAACATTTTCTATACAGTAAAACAACCTAAAAAAAAAACCAAAAAAAAAAACCAATGAATTAAATAGAATAGCATGATAATCATCTACAGTTTTTCATATTCAAGAATATAGAACATGATTTTTAAGCACAACACAATGAATTAAAAATAAACACTACCTTTCACTTGGACAACAGGGTTGGTACTATGTGAGCAACAGTGCTCTCTTTCTAACCAGCATTCAGCTTCTTTCCTTGGACTTGTGTGCATGTGCACAACAGCCAAATACTGCATTACTGAAACTCTAAAGCATGCAGTTCCATTTTTGTAATTTTTCACAAATGAGGAGATGACTATTGACATTAAGCTTAAGGATTATATAATGTACAAGTAAGTATAAAGAAAGAATTAAAGAAAAAAAAAAGACTCATTATATTGAATGTTATCAATAATATTGAGTAAAATAGGATTGCTGCAGTTTTGTAGTGCCTATACATGAGCCGCCACTGACCTCAACTGCAAGAATTTAAGCATACTACTAGATTGGCAACTGGGGCTCATTGTTTTACAGTTAAAATAGATGTAATTGTAAATTCTGCTCTAATAGTTTCTTTTCTCATACTTCTTGCTTCTGGAACTCTTCAGGTTTCTTGCATTCATGCCACCTACAATCTTCAAAAATTTAAATGCAACATCAATCACCATTTTATCTTCCTAAATCCTATTCTTTTATTGCCCTTTCTCCTCACTAACATCTTTTCATTTTCTTTCACTTTCAGTAACCTCTTACATTTTATTAGCATTATTGCCTTGATTGAAATAAATAAATATATTTTTCTGTTATTATTTACTAACACATACAGAACTTTTAATGCATTTACAAAAATAGAATAATAGAAAATATAGAAAAAAAAATAGAATAATATTACAATAATGATTCCTATTGTTCAATGTTTGAAATAGACACCCAGTTTTTTTATTTTCAACACTGTCTATTATGTCTATTGGAGTGTGCACTCAAGAAAACTTAAGAAAAGCCACAAATACTGTCAGAGAGCATATTTTCTTTAAGTGTTCTCAAGTATGCAGGTGAATAGGTGCAATACACACTGTTTAAAAATTAAAAAAAAAAAAAAATCAGGCATCTATTTCAAACACGGGTATCCACTAAAAATAATGTTTGAAGTAATATATATTATATATATTCCAATAATTTAAAAATAAAATAACAGAATTTCTATTCCATTAAAAGAGTAGCTTAAAACAGATGAGTGAATTGCTTATTTATAAATTTTAACATAAAATTCTTTCTGATCTTCACTAAAAAAAATTATTTTGACAAATGATTGCTTAAAATATTTTTCTATAATAAAACACATTAAAATGCATATATGTTTGTTTTTACTCAAAAGAAAAGACTGTTTTTTTTTTCAGACATTTGGTCTTGTTAATAAAAAACAGTGAAAGTCTGAAAAACTGGATGTCAAAATTGCTACAATTGAAAGAAAGAGAAGAAGTATAAAACTGATAAGGAGAGAGTATAAAGTGACAAGAAAATAACGAAAAGTAGAAATAACCATGACATTCTACATATACATACACACAGGTGGGGGCATGAGAGCATGCATGCACACACACACACACACACACACACACAATGAAAAGAAAAAAAATCAACTTTGCACCAATGAAAAGTGCATATATAAAAGAAAAACAAGAAATATAAACAGTCAAATGCTGATACACTGATGAGTGGACAGAGTGATTGCTGGAGAGTCTGTCTATGAAACTCTAGAGCCTGTATGTTGAAGGCAACACCAATCAGCTAAGTGACAAATTTTATATTTGTATTAATTCTATAGTATAGACACAAAGAAGCAAATTCTTCAAACAACAAATGTGACTGTTGAAAATAAGATATCTTAATACTGACATATGATAGACAACATGTTAGGTCTTAAGAAAAGTAACTTGGTAAGTAGTTATTACTTCTTGCATTTACAACCTTACTTGTAGCTATCTGATTATCTACCAAGTTATCAACCTGACTCTCACCCTATAAAAGCTACCTACTTAGCATTATACTCAATGTACTTGAATAAAATTTTAAATTATACCTAAGAATATAAATATAATTAAAATCAACACTACTTACCTATATATCTATATACTTAATTGCTACTACCTCAGCTAATCAACTAACACACCTGTTTATTAGCCAAAATATAATATTAAATTATGTATATTTTTGTGTGCCTTTGTACACCTGACCAGGATATATGACTGGTACATGTCTACTTTATCTTAGATAGTGAAAAAGAAAAACAGAGTAGAAGAGACAGCAAACTGACATCTCAAAGTAGAAGAAACTATTGATTTTTCGCCCATTTCACTACTAAGGTAGAGTAACACAAGTCACTGTGCACAGGCAAGGTGGGTACAGCCACCATGACTCTCAGCCAATGTTGTTCCTGGTTATTGCCAGAAAATATTCTTGTATACAAAGCATCTGTATAAATGAAATGTTTTATCAATTTCAATCAATACATGAATAAAAGAGATTAAGATTTTATATAAACTCTTGACAAATACATGAATATCTTATAACTCATTTATTTAATTAGTGCCAAATTTTTCATCATTTTCTCTTCAAACCACTGCAAGTTCACCTGAAATAAATTCAGTTTTACTAAAACTAAAGAAAATAAAATTCTGCTCAAATACACATCTGCTGATATATTAATGCAAGTTTGATTAAAGACTACAGATAAAGATTGCTTTTACATAATTTTTCTTCTTTATAGGTACATGGCCATATCAGGTTGGAACACTGGTCCTCATCCAATCACTAAAGTTAAGCAACATCATGCCTGGTCAGTACTGAGATGGGTGAAGGCTTGAAAATATCAGGTGCTGTAAACTTGGATGTGCAAATGGGGTAATGAATAATGGCTTAAAATGAGAAATTGGAGAGATGATTGTGAATTCTAATTGGGTTTGTTATATTCACTTACATGCAAATATGTTTAGGAAGGGTATTAATTCACTTCCTCTCAGATAAGGGTTAAATAGGAGGACATATCTGAAAATCATCATTATCTCAAAAAAAAAAAAAAAAAAACAAATTGTTAATAAAATATTCACTTCCAAAAAAAGAAAAAAAAACAAATATTTTTATAATTCCAAAAATATGTTTTGGCTTTAAATAACCTATAAAAGGTTGATAATCCGTAAAAAACCCAAAACAATATATACAAGATAACACACATATGGCTCCAATGAATGTAAATATTATCCAATAAATTAGGATCTAGCACTTTTGACCATACTTAGCATTGTGAAGATCAGAGAAAGACTATGAGAGGATGCTGAAAAATTCTTGAAATGACCCACTTCCCAAAATCTGATCAAAATATTTTTTGAAATCTGTACTTAGTAATTTTTCAGCACCCTCTCATATATCTGAAAAAAGAAATGCTTTTAAACTTGGCATTATAGAATTTGTGCATTACAAGATATATTTACAAATAATGCATGTGATTTTTTGCTACCCCAATCTTAATAATAGCCAAAGTAAGTATTAGATCTTACATTTTATTTTATAGTATTGTACACCTAATATAAGGCTCAAGAGCCACTCAAAGTAGAGGGTTACTGAATGAGATTGCTGTAAGGGCATAAGAGGTGCATATCATGAGGATATGTAGGATAGATAGCAGTTGACGCTATACTTGAGGGTTGATTGTAGTGGTCAAGGAAGCATGTTCTTGTGAGTCTGTTTTACAATGTGACATTTCTGGAGAAGAAGTCTGAGCGGAACTTTCTCCTTACTAGAGAATGAGGAGGAGTTGATGCAGTGTACATGGCATGGTTGATTCTAGCTGCGAAGATCTGATCTAGTGGAACTATGGATTGTAGTCTGTCTGAACATTTGTTATAGAAATAGCAAAAGGCTAGAAATGGTTCATCTGTGGAGAAACGGGTTGTTTAGTGGAATATAATTCCTCCCCCACAATGTCATATAACTGCTTTTGAAATCTGTCAAAGATGGACAGTGAGGACTGGGCAGCACCAGCTCAGATATAACAGCAAAACTCCATCTTTGGTTTGATCTGACTCTTGTAAAGCTACAGTGTGGCAGTAGGAGTTAAATAATTTCTGGAGCAGTAGAATGAACCAGCTATTTTTCAAGCATCTTTAGTGAGGATACAAATATAAGAGTTCGGTATGAGGTCTGAAGTGAGCTTTCATCCCACTAAATGTTCAAAGCAAGGAGCCTCATTGTGAATACAACCTCTCACCAAGAGAGTAATTTAGGATCTGCTTGGTGGTGATAAAATGTTACTAGCTTTGTTTTGGCAGTAATGTGTTGTGGAGTATTTTCACAGTGGAGGCTTGTATTTCTAATTAGTCGTCCTAAATCAGGTCCGACGTACAACACGTTAGGAACTTGGAAAATAAGAGTCAATGGCGCAGCAATCTGGTTGGGATGGTTGGTACTTCAAATGTCCGAATCTCGACTGACGCACTCAACACCATTCTGCCAGACTTGCCACTGCTACTCCTACTTATTATCTATGGGAGAGTCCATTACAATAGAACAGGTAGTATAACATAATGAATAATACAAACCAGTCTTTTCTCTATTGAGCTGTGCAAGCTAGGCCAGCAGAGAGATCAGATGCTAGACTCTGGTCATCAATAATTTTGCTAATACACCCATAAACCATGGCATAATATATATAACTAAAGATTTGAGAATGTTCTTCATCAGATTGTTAATATCCAGCAAAAAGAGGGCAGAAGCAAGGAGAGAGCCTTGTGGAATGCTAGCATTGATCTCATGTGCTTCAGAGGGTTGGCCTTTATAAATTTATCTGATAAGGACTTAATAATTGTGAAAACTCTTCCAGAGATTCCATAGCTTGAGAGGTGATATCAAAATACTCTATGCCATACCTTGTCAAAGGCTTTTGAGATATCTAAGGTGATCACTTTCAAGATGTGTTTATTATCAAGCATTTCACCGATTCTATGCATGATAGTTAAGACATTAGCAGTGAACCAAGAAGAACAAAAGTCATACTGCATGTCCACTCAGAAGGTTGTTTCTGTGGGGATGATCAACAACTTTCTTGTTGATCGCCTCAAAAATGTTTGCTGATGACACTAAAATGATAGGGCAATATGTGTGAACAATCTTTACATTCATTAAATCCAGACAAACATTCTCTTGTTTAAAAGATTCAATTTGTCCAAGTTTTTGGGATGAGTAATTATCATTATGCTACACTGATTTACTTGGCCTAATGTCCTTTTCCTTCCAGTCTTCTTCAGGTCTGCCATATCTTAATTTTAAACTGAACTCTTTATTAATTGTTCATATAAGAAGAAATCTCATATCAAATAATTCTTCTAATGTCATCTCATTAATGTCATTTGTCCCTTTCACTGAGTCAGAGCACTACCCAAGCCATGGACTGAACTTACAGCCACCAAGTAGCTAAATCTGCTTAACGAATTCTTTATCCACTACACCAATTTGGTGGTGAAAATTTGGAGCCTTAAACCTAATGTGGCTTTCTGATCTCTTCTATTTAACCAAATTATATGACTTTGCACTACATCTCATGTAATTATGTGATGGAATTTTAGTAAATAAAAATTGTTATGTTTTAAAGAAAAAACTAAATACATGATCATCTCTTGTTACTGACTGGACAAAGCATTGTTTACCTTCAGAAATTAAGTTTAGTGCTTATATATTTATATATTCATCTTTATTTAACATCATGTATCAAGTTTAAATAATTATTGAAAAGTCCAAATATATATATTTAAAAAGAAAACCAAAAACAGTTCTTCGATTTGTAACTATCATAAAATGATTTTAGACAAAATCTCTTTAGTTTAAATGGCCACAGAGATATTTCAATTTCATGGCCAGGACCCACTATGCCACTCATATTGTAGCAAGCCACCCATATTCCCTCCATATTCCATTGGTGAAAAGTTAGTTTCACTCAAACAGTTTTTCCCCAATGAACCACTGCTCTGTAGAACCAACTCCCAAGAGGATATTTTCCTGATCACTACAATCTTAACCTGTTCAAATCTAGGTTTAACCATTATCTCCTCTCCTATCTGCATAAACTGCGTCTTACTGTAACCCTCTACCTTGAGTGACCCCTGGACCTTGTACAGTATGAACCTCACTGTAAAAAAAATTAAAAAAATAAAAACTGCTTTATCCATTTATTAAGATAAAGAATACTCAGATCAAAATGTTTGGGATTAAATCATTCATTTTTAGCATGATAGGACTTGCTTAAAAATATTTCTATTTGTCACAGGCTATTTAAAAAAAAATTGTTTTTTTCACCATATTTTGCATCATAAAATTGGTATTTGAATCAAGGTAATAGTTAAGTTTCAATTTCATCATGAGATATCACAATCCTACACTTTAAACATTGGACCTTGCATTATTTTCCAAAAGTATTTTTATCAATATTTGCTGCTCCATTATCAAAAAGAGATAGGAATTATCACTTATTTGTATGGCTTCCTTTTTTAGTACCTGTGAAAGTTCAGAACACTTTTTTTAGATATAATGTAATCAGACTAATTTTTTTGATTTAATATAACCTTTTCCTTTATACTTACTTTTGTTTTATGGTATTTTGGAAATTTTAAGATTTTTAATTTGCCTAAGTTTTTATCCAAGTTGAAACTTCAATCAATTTTTATTTTATAACAAAGTGAATAAAAACAAGAAAATAAAAAAGGCAAGAAAAAAGAAAGCATAAAAATTCTATCAAATTTAATACACTACACATTAATATTTCAGTCTTCTTCATGTTACAAAAATGATTTTAGTAAAGCGGAAGTAAAAATTTTGGCAATCTTGGATTCTACAATTTTACATTTATAATCAACATTTTTAAAAACAAAGTAGTTAAAATAAAAACGATGTGAAAAAAAAAAAAAAAAAAAACATACTTTTGACACCTTTTTTTCAGGAGCAAAGGTCCAAGATTGCCAAATTTGTATTATTTTATTTTTATTATCACCCAAACCCATCCATATAAATTTTTCCAATTTTTAAATATATTAATTTATAATTTATTTTATTTTTGACCACTTGTTTACAGTCAGCAACTTTTCCCATCAGGATGAAACTGAAACTTTCAATAAATTTAATTTAAAGAATGTGAGATACCTAAGCAGAATCTATACCATAATACAATGTGACTTTATTGGTCACACAGTCTGACCTCCCCTACTCAGTAACAAGATAATCATTTGTTATGGTAATAAGAGATGTTACTCCATGCCAATAGACATATCTCATATTACCATAACAGTGGAATATCTCATTTCTAAGTAATAATTAACTTAGGTTACTTGGTTTTACAACATTTCAACCTTTGTTGGGCTATTTAATGTCAAATTTTGTATGGAGCACCCAGTGAGGATCAAACTTACTAAGTAATAATAGTCAACCAGACTAGTTTTGCTAACTATTATCCAATGCTAAGGCACATTTTATAAATAATACGAGCAGGTTGCTAATACATTGTTTTTTTTTCTGTTGTTTCATGTTAGCATTCTTTGGATATTTTTAGTGATTGTATAATTTTATTTTTAATGATTTAAAAAGCAAAATTATTTCTTAGTTATCACAATAAAGTAAATTTTATAGATAAAATCCTAGATTACACATGCAGGAAATATAACAAAGGCAAATGCAAAATTACTTAGCATGATTACTTTTGAGATAGTTCAGGTAAAAACATAAGTTACAATGATACTGTAGCCAATAAGTGCTACAGAATTGTAATGGACAAGGCTGGTGTTGATGAGCAGGAGTTAATTCTTACAACTTTCAAAGTAAATGAATTCAACATTTTCAAAAG